AAAAGTACTACCGCGACACTGTCAAAGAGGAATATATTTCTCTTATAGCGGAACCTGGTTGTCATTATTTTGGCCACGTCACCTCTCCTTCCGGGAGCGGCTGAGGATGAGACGCAAGCTATATGGCAACATTTACAAGACAATTCAGTTGATGTGGAACATCTAGAAGTTGTCGGTGCTGATGGCACCAACACGAACAGAGGTTGGAAAGGTGGAATCATTCGGAAACTAAAAGAAATAATAGGTAGGCCATTACAGTGGGTTGTTTGTCTTCTACAYTTCAACGAACTTCCATTTCGTGCTCTTTTTGAACACATAGATGATGTCTCAAAGAGTCCAAATACATTCTCTGGCGACATAGATAAACTGCTCCCTGATTGTGAGAAGTTGGCTGTTGTCAAATTTGAAAGTTTTCCATCCTGCCAATTACCTTCTGAGATTATTAATCCGACCCAACTTAGCACAGACAAAGCTTATCTCTATAAAATATCAGAAGCTGTTACTTCCGGTCAATGTTCCTCAGATTTAGCGTCGATGCATCCAGGTAACATGTGCAAATCTCGCTGGCTCACCTGTGTAAATAAAATTCTGAGATTATACATTTCTACTGGCAAACCAACAAAGGAAATTAAAATTTTGGTCAAGCACATACTTACAGTTTACTCACCTTTGAGGTTCTCAATAAGATTCAACAGTTCAATCAAAGATGGCTCGCGCCATCTCTATGCTGCAATTCAGAGGTCGAGATACTTATCTGCTAAACTGCGCAAGGTTGTGGATTCATCCATTCAACAGAATGCTCTTCCAGAAAACATTCTCCTTAGTATGATGACCGATAATTGACCGTCTTCTGGCAGCCAAAGAAGCAGAGTCTGACACTGTAAATGGAAGGGTTAGATGTAATAAAGTGCCAAAGCTGAATTTCAAAGCTAATAATTATTACGATATGATTAACTGAAAGACTGTTCCAGCAGTTCTTTGTTCAGTTTCTAACGAAGAACTCATAAAAAGGCTATCGGGCACTGCAGAGGTATGGAAATTTAGTGAATTCCCCTCTCACACCATGGCAGTCGAGAGAACCGTCAAACTGGTGACAGAGGCATCTTGTAAAATTATTGGCCCCCAATTTCGTGATCCTTTTATACGCTCTACACTGAAATCTAGGCAACAAGTGCCAAAGTTTAGTACAAAATCTGATTTTATCAATAAATTTGACACAGATTCAGACTAAAACAAGCCTTACATGTGGTTGGTTGGTTGGGTTGGGCGCGGGAGGAACCCGAAGAGCAGCCACCTCCACGCGGTGGGTTCTGGGTGACCAATACAGATTAGCTGAGAGCTGCAACAATTTTCACCTTGCGCTGTGACGCGTCGCATTTTCGCTCGTATCTCGGAACGGTTCGTCCTACGGTCATGATCACATATACCACTTCGGTAGCAAATGACGTGACAAATAACTTTTGTTTGATACATTTTGCCATAAGATGCGTATTTCAGGCGCTAGGTAGACAATTTCACGATTTTAGGCGAATTTCCGAAATTTCAAAGCCGGAGTTATGGTTGAAGATGCAATCCGATCTCAAAACAAAAAGTTGCATTGGAATGAGGAAGTACTAAGTCAACTTTTCCGCACTATTAGAAATCCCGAGTCGAAAAAAGTCCGGAATCGACCCACCCTATTGTTCATTGCTCTCTGGAATATACTTGTAGTATTTTTCAGTCTAAATTGTACTCTCAAATATTCATATTCATTCAAATTATTGAGAAAATGTATATTTTCTATTTTATTATCTCCATAAATTAATTGCCAATTTAGAAAATATGTTGTGGCTACGCTTTCCTCTAGGTTATCAATTTCATATAAACGTTCTTTTACGCCCAATAAATTAATATTTTTAAAATGTGCTTCGTTTGCTTGCATAGGATTGTGGTCATTTATTATTTGAATTGATTGATCCACGTCCATTTGTTCTGGACGACTGGTATATTTTTGATTTCAATTAGTGATCCGTTGCGGTTACCTAAACTTTTTTTTTTTATTTCGATTAAATTGATGTTGTTTTCGAGAATCAATATCTTGATTATTTTTTAGAGAAATATAAAGCGAATTGTGAGCTCATGTGATTTGATCGAAGTTTTGCGCTTTAGCAAGATACGCAAATCGGTTAATGTAAAAAGTATTTGGTTTAAAGGATAATTTAAACCAGTTATGAATGTTCTAAGCGCGGTTTCTCGATTCTTAATGTTTAATTGTATTGTTATTTCGGAATTTGTTCCGTGCGCCTTTGTAGTTTTATTAATTGAAATGTCAATGTTATGACTTCATTGTAATAATCTATTATGGATGGCGATCCTTCTCTGGGTGTGCTCCTTTCCTGGTTAATTACGTGAGTTGGCCTTCTATCCGCATACGCAAAAGCTAACATAGAAAATGTGGTCTCTAAATTTAGAACTGTGCCATGGTTTGTCAAAATGTTGTTGCAAACGGTTTGTTTCGCAGTATTGTTAGGCTAAAAAATATCTCCTACTCCCTTCTATATAAATATTCATTGTTTGACTTGTAGAATCAAACTGTTTGATTTGTATGATCAAAGGTTAAGATTTAAATAAGATTTTTTAAATCCTTACCACTGTTTGGAGGGGAAACAAATACCTTATTCAAGCTGAGAAATATTTCATTCTAATTTTATTTTTAAATTTGTAAGTCTTATATACAATTTTTGAAACCTTACTTATCTAATTAAATATATGTGTATGTACAGCACACCACATGGGGTGTTTGCATATAATTTATGTTGCCTGGTTTGGGTTGTTTTCAAGAGAAAATTTGCATTTGTAATCAATTGCCCAAACCCATAGGGCCCATACACGACACACATGTGTGTTCGATCTGAGGGAATTCGTTTCGCCCATACACCACACAAATCCATTTTTGCTTCGTTCTTCACACAGTCAATATGTACCATAGGCAAGCGGAACATTTCTTGGAATTTATTCCTAATGTAGCACTTTTATCTATTCCTTTGTTTTTCGTTAATAAGTTATTCCAACTTTTAGTTTTCTCAATTTTATTTATCACTTTTCGTTTGCCAAATTGCTAATTAATTTTTTATAAGATCAACCAATTCTGATACGAAATCTTTATTAAAGGGGTAGCATCCTTTAAAAGCTTCAAAAAATCGATTTTTTTTTTGTTTTGCTTAAATCTCTTTAAAAATAATCAAAGAATATGTATGTCCCAAAAGTTTCAATTGGAAATATTATATGTACACTAAAAAAAATAAGAAAAGTCAAGTTTGAACAAATTTTTTTGGTCCAAAACTACTTTTTTTTTTCAATTTACAAAAAAAAAATTTTGAAATTTTGCACTTTTTCGGAATTTTTTTATTTTAACTAGAAGATAAATTATTAAAAAATATGATTGTTTTTGAATTCTCTGTTTTCGATAGAAATTGCGACCTGCATCCTGCCCGCCGTTAGACAAATGCACATGCGAGATACATCGAGCAATTGCTTCCCAAAGGAAGAATATCAAAAACTAGCTGACCCGGCAAACTTCGTACCGCCGTAAATTTATTATGTAAATATGTGTTTTCGAAAACCCTAAAGTTAATGTTTCAAAATTAATGATTACCTCAGCTTCGCATGAAATGGAGAAAATAAAACGTTTTTTATTCAATTGAAATGCCTTGTAGTGAACAATGTTTTTAGTTTTTTCTTCTGGAGCAAAAATATATAGTGCCGACGATTTGCCGACTCTCGAGCATGCGACGTACAACTGCCCATGCGAAAAACACGGCAATTCAAGGTTTATTCCACACGCTTCTAATGATTGACCTTTGGATTTATTAATCGTCATTGCAAATGCAAGGCGCACTGGAAACTGGACACGCTTAAATTCGAAAGGAAAGTCTGTTGGCATCAGTGCTATTTATGGAATAAGCAAACCTCGCCTTTAAACTTTCCTATGATTATAGTCGCTTCAATCAAATTGTTCATATTTTGTTTTAATGGCTAGTCTTGTTCCGTTGCACAATTTTTCCTGATTGAGATTTTGTAGCATAATTATTACAGAGCCAACGTTGAGCTGTAAATTGTGAGGCGGTAATCCAGGCAAATCCAAAGAATTTAGGAATTCAGTTGGATAATTGACAACTTCATTTGGATCGGTAATAGAATCGATTGATTTAAATGAATGCACTTGTCCATCAATTTGACTTTGAGTTTTTATATTCAAATCATCTACATCCTTATTTTTCGCTGCTAAAATGGCTCGTTCGCTCAACCAAGCATGGTTTTTGTAGTTTACATTTATACTTGGGAAAACTTTTGAAATTAATTCTTCCTTTGACGTTGTAAAATGACAAAAATTTGGGGGAAACGAAACAAGGCCAGTGTTAGTGTCAGCTTGAATTTTCCCATTTCCTATGTCTAATAATGCCTTCGAAAAGATTTCTGCCGATACGTCATGTTGTAACACCACTCGCATATTCGTTGTTAATTTGATATTTTTTACGTATTTCCACAAAACTGATGTTTTCAAGCAAGCATTTATTTCATCAGCAGCTGTTGATCTGGGAATTACTGGAAGCGTTTGGCGAAAATCTCCAGCCAGTAGAATCATCGCACCTCCGAAGAGTTTTTGATTGCCACGCAAGTCTCTTAATGTTCTATCGATTATTAATCTACAATTTTGTAGCACTTTTGTCATTGCAGATGTTTTGGTTATATTGCATGTTGGTTGATCTATTGTTTACAAATTCAATGGCAGAATGTGCGGTTCGTCCACCTTCTAATAATGTAGCAGCTATCCCAGATGATACTACTGCTAGTACTATTTGACTGTGTGCCCAAATCGTATCTCAAATTAATGAAATTAAAAATGTTTTACCAGTTCCACCATCGAGGAAAACTAATTCGCCATTGCCGTCATTTACTGATTTCATTATTATATCGTAAGCTGTTTTTTGTTGCAGATTTAAAAGTGGGATTTTATTTTGTACGGATTGACTTAAAGCATTTCTATCGTATTGTTGTTCTCGTTCAAATTCACGATTGAGTGCATCGTGCATAGGGCGATTAGGCGCCGGCATTCCTAATTCGTGCAACATCTTACCGGATATCATCACGCACAAATCCTCTAAAGTTATTAATACCTTATTGTGTATTTCCGTGCAAATTGCAAGATTGGGATTTGCCGTTGTTACGCGTATTTGATGTAAAATGTCTTCAGCCATATTGTCTTTGTACTTGTTCCACAAGTTTTGTGGACTCGATGGAAAGCATGCTGAAATTATGATAGCAAAAAGTGATCGAATCTGATGAGAAGTAGATGAAATAACAGCATCAGCGAGGTTATGATCCCAATGAATATCATCCTCCAATAAATGTAAACGTGGACAGGCTTCTCGATATGTTGTGCACAATTCTCCATTGACGGTTTGTAGAAATTTAAATGAAGTTGGTCCACGAACATTAACTAATATCAAAAGCAGGTAAAAACATTCGTCATTTCTCGGATGAACTGTGTAAATGCGCCCTAAAGCATCGGTTGAATATACATTTTCGTACCCCGGTACAGGCTGTCTTTGTTTCCTACGTTGGCAAAATATTTTGGCATTTCCGAGTAAAAAAATGTTTTTGCAAATGGATTATTATNGGACCATAAATCTTTCGCAGAACTTTTCTCTCGAAAACTCGCAACGTCGACTCATCAGTTGTTGTCATCGTCCAAGCCTCTGCACCATATAGCAGGACTTGAATTATGAGTGACTTATAGACTTACTTACCGGATATCAACTCGCACAAATACTCTAAGGTCATTAATACTTTATTGTATTTTTCCGTGCAAATTGCATGATCGGGATTGTTGTGCGGAATTCACCATTAACGGTTTATAGAAATTTAAATGAAGTTGGTCCGCGAACATTAACTAATAATAAACGCAGGTAAAAACATTCGTAATTTCTCGGATGAACTGTGTAAATGCGCCCTGAAGCAACGATTGAATATACATTTGCGTACCTAGGTACAGGCTGTCCTTGTTTTCTACGTTGGAACTTTTTGGATGATGCATTCTATATAAAATATTTTGGCATTTCCGAGTAAAACAATGTTTTTGCAAATGGATCACTTGCGCATGTCTCGAAAAAACTTATGAGCTTTGCGCTACGTTTTCTGTTGTGAAATATACTCTCTGTCCATTTTCCAGGTGAACAGCTAAGTGGACTACGGTGGGATGACGTTCGTGTATAGAAAAGGAAAAGATTCTCCAAACCGCTTCATTGCTACTAATACATCTTCCCATTTGATATTGTGAAACTTCATCGTTATTAGAAGCTGCAATACCAAACACAGCCATGTCGTTTCCTTTGGTGACGTACATTGCAATGCGCTTTAAAGGTTTTGTAGAGCAGCGGTGAATATGGAACAACCCATCTGTTGTTAACTACCACATCCTTATTTTTTAGTTACAACGTTATTGTTCTGGCGTTATCTTCTACAGAGCGGCGACGATACAGAGGGTAACCATCATTGCCTGTAATTGTATCTGCCCATAAAGCACGCGGATAACGTTTCGAGCATTTGTTGTCGATCATACACGGTGATTCATGGTTGTGTTCGCCACACGGTCCATCTACTTCGGGATCAGGAATTTCTGCACAAATGATTAAGTCTATTTCATCTGGTCTTATTTTTTCGACCATCCACAGGAGAATATGCGCATGAGGTAGTCCTCTCTTCTGCCATTCTGCATAGTACATCCAACATCGTACGTCTCCGAAGACATGGCATCTTACAATGAAGTCCATGAGCGCTTTGAGTTTCTGGTTGAACACTCTTGCTGTTATGTCGTGACGATCGCTGGATGACTGACTGTGTAATAACTGATTTGTTATTTCGATCCATTTAGGGTTGTACGTGAAAGTAATAAATAAATCTTTTCGACCGTATTGGCGCCCGTAGGTCATAGCATTTTGCGCGTATTCGTGCATGTGTCTCGGGCTTCCTGTATACGTTGCTGGTAAAATCGTAAGTCGACCGATATTATTTCCATTTCCATCTCTGTTCATGGCGTCGCGCAAATGAATGTATTCTTCTGAACGTAATTTTGTTTGGTTTAATCGTATATATGTCAGACGTTCCGTTTCAACTTTAACATACATATCAACAGCAAACTGATGAAATAATCGGCGGCTCTTCAAAATGTGGTTATCCTCGATCAGACGAATCATGAAACGGTATGCATAAAATCATCATTGAGCTGACCTTTTTATTTGTTTCTTGACCTGTAACATAATAATTTACTTTGCTTAGGAAACCTTATTTTTATTGTCAATAGAGTGTTATTTCTGCCATGAGCTACCATATGTTGAAACATTCATTCAGTTATTAATATGAGATATTTTTTTAGTAAACTTCCATGTATTTGTTATTGCGTTGATACATACCAGTCGCTGGATTAATCATCTTGATTAAGAAATGATATCCATCCTCTCCTCTACAAAATAGTAGAGGGTATGGTAATGCATCATACGAACGATGTGTTTCACTAATACGCTGAAGGTTGCCACCATCACGCCGTTGAATTACAATGTCTCGAGAGTCCATATTCTCTCCAACAACCACAATAGCAACTTCGTTTAACACAGGTGCATTGAAGCGTCTTTCATGTTCACCTGCAGGTCTTTTGTCTGCTCTGATTACTATTTTATGATCATCTTATGGCATCATTTCTAAGGCTGTTTTAAGTAATTTAATCAAAAAGTTATGTTCATGTAATAGTTGTTGCAGTTGCACAATAATCTCGCACCTAGTTGCTCGATTAATGCCACAGCGCTGATTTATTTCAGTTTCAGAATTTCCAAGGAAATAAATCTGAAGATATTTGTATTCGCCAGCAACTGATGGCAACAATGCTCCTGCACGGTGGTGAATTTGTCCTTGAACCTGTAATATTGAACATAAGCGAACATGTTTAAAATAAGTTTTATTAGTAGTAGTAGTTTATTTAACATATTTTGAAGTTTAAGAGTACCCTACTTTCAATCGCCGTAATCAAACAGTATTGTCACCTGACTTTCATACATATGCCAATTTATATGTTGTTTGGATAACGGAAAGTAGATTAAATTTAACTTGCAAGATGTGACTCAAACTAACAGAATTATTCTACATACATATCTACATATACATAGGTACACTGCAAATGAAAAAAATCTTTTAAGTTGTATGCATTAGCCTCAACTGATTTTGCCCATCTATGGTTATGTAGGTTTGTATGTGATGTGTGTGACAGAAGAAAATAAATACCTTAAAATTTGGATTAAATCCCTGTTCATCAATTCTGTTTGCACCAAATGAAGTCATTTGAAACACACTGTTATACTTTTGAATATTCTGCAAGAAATGCTTTGATAGAGGTTCGTGTAAAAGTAATGACTTCAGTGGTTCAGGTGGTATTGTTTGTATGAAAACTCACCTTTTAGGTCACTCACACTTTTTGTTAAAAAGAAAAATGCACAAGATTCAATATAATCGTTATAAGGGTTTTATTTGATGCAAAATGCACTCAGAAATGGTTGTTACAAAATTAGTTTAAAACATTAAATATATATTATATACCATATATGTATATATAAAATGATCAAAAATGGATAACAGCCGGTTTTAAAAACGTTAAATATATATATATAGGCGAGTAACTGCGGAAGGGAACCGGGAT